ATGTCTATTTTACTGAATGAAGTAGTATCATAAAGGATTAGATCACCTGCCAATTCACCACCTACAGTGGTATTGTTGAACATAGTATCAAACTTCTAGCCTTTTTTTTTTCTGGAATATACAATCATGTTTCCTTTTCCAATTTCAATATATTTCTAAAGGAAAAAGACCAAAATGGTAAGTGAGATACAAATTTGAAGCTTCTCTAGAAGTTTTGAATGAGGAAAAGACAGGCTTAACAGAGAGAAAAGGAAATGACAGTGTTGTCTTTTTTTTTTACTTTTCAGGTTACACCGTCTGGGCACACAACCTCATTGCCATTGCTCGTCTTCGGGGCTCTGATCTGAAAGTGCTCGAAGTCACTGAAGAAAGCATTGATTTTGACCAAGGTGAACTGGCTGACCAGGATGTAGATCCAGTGCATAACCTTATTGAGCAGGTATCCCTGGGCCTGGGTCAACCTTGGCACGCAGTCATGGACATCGAATCACTCAGTGTCTTCACTGAACCAAATCGTCATTTTTACAGAGAGATGCAAAGCTTCAGTGAAGACATTTAGCTTTTTTTTAATGTAGAATTCCTGTGGTTACATATGCAAGTAGGGTCCTATTACGTTTTTTTTTTTTTTTTTTTTTCAGTAGTGTGAATTAATCCTTTTGTGCTGTGTTTAATCAATATTAGCTTTATAGAATTATATATGTATATTCTACTTCTTGATCAAAGAACGTAGTCGGGTATTGGTTTAGAAGTTCAAAGTGACAATGTATAGGGCTTTCACGGTTAATGGACTTGTTACCAAACCTTAAAGATACACAGCCGAAGATTGTCTGAGGTTGCTGGCTAACTTTATTTTTCACTGAGTTACTCTGCCTTTTTGACGTTTTTATTCTTTGTGTGTCAGAGTTCAGAGCTCAGGAGCCAAAATATTTTTATACATATATAGATATATATCCATAGCCTGGTAGATTTTTATGCAATGGTCTGCATCCATGCATTCTGATAGCATTTCAATAATTTTGATTTCAAATGGAAGATAAATAATATCCCAAATGAATTATCTGTAATAGAAAAGCCAAGACTTTAACTTTCATTACATATCGAATAGTTGCTATCACCATACCATTTTCAATTTTGTATAGTACGAGGTTAGAACGTTGCTTAATCTTTTTTTTTAAAAAAAATGCATTTACATAAACATGAATACTCAAATTGCTGGATTTTTTAACTATATCTAACATAATTTTATTCATCAGTTACACGTTCATTTAGCCCAGATTTCAAATAGTGGAGGAAGAAAGAAACTGTATTTTAAAGTAAAACCTCCTAAAGGAAATAAAAATAGAGAGTTGTAAACACACATGCTTGCAAAAACATTAGTCGTGAAATCCCTAGCAACAAGTCACTGGATTCTTCTCTGTCAGCACGCGTGTCAGCTGCCAAAGAATAGACTTACTGAAGAAGTGCCCACATGCTGGCAGGGGCCGGCCCACTCTGGCCAGCCAGATAACTGCTAGATTGTAATATTTAAGGTCGAATTTCGACCTGTGGTACACAGCTGTGCTGTGGCTCAGTCAGCAACCTCAGAACTCTGAAAAAAACAAAACAAAAAAAAAAAAAAAGAAAAAAAAAACATGCACCTGTTTCACTGTGAATAGTGAATGTAAAGGAAAGAAAGGAAAAACTGAAAGCTTGTTCTATCACAGTATGAGCTGCTATGATACATGAAGAACATTCCATGAAGTATGTTTTAAAACCTTGTTATATCTGAGAGGCTTTAAAAGCCTATTAACTGTTTCAGGGCAACCGCGGTACGGACGTGGTCTCTGTGAGACTTCCACCTGACCCCAGTTTTAAGTGGTACGAATGTTGTGCATTTAATGTTAAAGGACAGTCTGCAATAATAAAGTAAGTAGCCAACGTGGGTGCCCAGCAGTGCTGAGACCTGGCTGCTCTATTGTAAGCTTTGGAAACACAATTTATGCAACAGATGTCCAGATATGATTCTATTTATGGAAAAAGTTTATATGTGTTTTACAAATGGTTTTACCATCTTATATTAAAATGACCTTTTGACAGGTGTGCACTGTTTTGTCTCCAGTGAGCACATACCATGCGGATTTTATATGTACATCAGTAGTGTGAATCCACTGGCACAGTGTGTGTAAATGCCAGATGTGGTGAGATTTTATCTTATAAATGTGATCAGATAAAATAACTCCTGACAGAAACTGTAAGGAAACCAGCTGAATGTTTGACCTGATGACTGATGTTGTATGGTTTATGTTAAATGTATATTCTTTTAATCAATGAATAAAGCATTAAAAATGATCATTGTAATATATTTTATTGTATATGAAGCATGACTACTTTTAGTGTTAAATAAACTGCAATAATCCTTAGATCGTGTATAATAATGTGTTAGCTCCTGTTGTATTCTGGTGCAGCGAAGCTTAAATTTGAGAATACATTATAAAAAGACTTAGCTGAATTTGGAGGATTTTTTTTTTTTTTTTTTTTTTTTACAAAAGTTCACTTTGACAAAATACAAGCTTAAAAGCAAACAATGGATTTCTTAGTACAAAATCTCACTATATTATGCACCTAGAATACATTATCAATGTGGTAAAGCTTAATTTATAGACTATAGGAGCCTTTTACTTTAAAGATTCCTATACCAAATGCAAAAATACTTAGATATGCCAATATTAAATTCTTCATAAACCCCTATATTGCTTTATTTTGGTATTCTAATCTCTATTCTTGGTTGTTGAGACTCACAGCTCTTATTTATAGGAAACAAAATGACTTATTTTCTTTCAACTCTTCCAGGCACAGCTTTATCTTGAAATAATCTGGTGTTCACAAAGAACTGTACTCATACTTACCACTTCCTTAATTTCTGGACACATCTAACTCCTTTGAATGAATAACATGTTTAAGTATATATTTAAGACATACCCAAAATGTATGAAAAAGGAAAGTCTACTAATAAGAATAGCATGCAAGTTAAGGTTGTTGTAGTAAATGCTAAATTTGGGAGGCTCGACATCTGCTTTCTTCTAGTCTAAGCTCTGGCTGTTATGCTACTTAAGCACAAACTCCTCTTTCAGCTTTGGTTTCCTCATGTCTAACATGAAGGATTGGACTTCGCTAGCTAAAACTCTGATCCTTCATTGAAATTCTCCATCGCTGTTAGCTCAGTACTCAGATACACGAGATCATCTTTAAACAACGTTATTAAATATTTTCAAAACATAGCTTACTAAACTATATGAAATTTACTTATCTATCTAAAATTACTTTCCATTTCCCCCACCACGTAGTAATCAAGAAGTTGGGGAATTGGTGGAGTGATACTTGGGAGGCATAACGTGCTTACAGCTGAACACAAAGCTGCAGAAATTAAACACAAAGCTGCAGAAACTTGCTTGGGACTTCCAGCATGAATCAGATTGGATCCTTATGAAGCCAGTAACATAATACAGTGCTAATGGAGTAACAGCAGATGTGAATACTACCCAGGACCATTTCACATTGTCTGTATTAATGTTTCCCAACCTTTGTCATGTTATAGCACACATAGAAAATATTGTACAGCATACTGGTATTAGAGAAAAAAAGTCATTACTTTTTTTAACTTATATAATTGATGAAAAATAAAATGTAGAAGATTTGAGGAAAATATATTGAATTTGTATGGAACTTTCAAATAAAATCTTGCCACATGTTTTGATTTAATTAACATTTGATTAAAATGTTTTAATACTGTCACCAATGAGAAACACCCACAAATAGGCAATAATTTTTAGGTCTTTTTTAAAGATAACCAATAATTTATGCAGTTGAAACTAAGAAATTTAACAACACTTTTCTTTGGGAAATAATGTGAATTAATTTCAACTTCAAAGTGATGTTTATTACAATTATTTAAAAATCATAATGCTCTAATTTGTAATCTCCCTTACATAATCCTACTGCTAGGTAAGACACCACTGAAGAGTAAACAGCCACCAACTTTATGTGAATGCAATTAGAGGCTGCAGGGAGCCCTCCTCCCACCTCCAGCTCCCAACCCTTTCAAATTCAACTAGCCACTTCTGGGGGCCTCACACATGGGCTTCCTACCTGCTCTTTGGACACCTGGAGCATATTTCTTTCACAGCTTTGTAGACCCCGCCTTGCCTGTGATGGACAGTAACTCCTCCAGCCAGGAGTAGTGAGTGTCTGAGTTTGCTCTCTGTCCAGGGCACACTTTCAGAGCTCCACTCTCACTTCTCGGAACAGCCTGAAACCATCAGAAGGCAACCCACCCAGACTCCCAGCCACCCCAGGACTCACTAGTTGTCCTTGTGGGGTATCACTGTGGTACAGTATACTAACCAATTTGGACTGCTGGTTGTGGAAAGAAACGGAAAATGTATCATGAATAAGTTTTCAGGATACTTGAATAATCCTTCCTTTCTGAAAGATGTTTTAAAAGGGCAAGATATACCATGCGTTGGCAAGGAAGAAGAAATAGCTGGAACTTGAATTGGTATATCCATTTTGGAAAGCAAATTTGCAGTATCTTGTAAAGTTTAAGTTGCCTGTGCTGTGTAACCCAGCATTTTCACTTCTGATGTATTCTCTAATGCCATTTTTCTAACTTGTTTTCCTAGCCCCTAAAAATCCTAAAGGAATTTTGAAAAGCCATGTATCCCTTTGCATATGTTAAACATAAAAAATGATCAGTCTCAGTAGACATAAACATTAACAGTTTAAACTATATACATGACTGCTTAAAATATGTATAATGGAATCAATGCTATAGTAATTTAGTACTTACCATCTTTTTTTTTTTTTCCTTTGGCAGAGTCTCACTCTGTCACCCAGGCTGGAGTGCAGTGGCACGATCTACGCTCACTGCAGTCTCCACCTCCTGGGCCTACAAAGTAGCTGGGACTACAGGCATATGCCACCAAACCCAGCTAATTTTTCTATCTTTTTTTTCTTTTTTTTAGTAGAGCTGGGTTTCATCATGTTGGCCAGGCTGGTCTCGAACTCCTGACCTCAAGTGATCCTCCCACCTCAGACTCCCAAAATGCTGGGATTACAGGCATGAGTTACTGCGCCCAGTCTGTTTACCATCTGTTTTTAAAATGCAATTCACTCTTGATCATTAGAACTTTTATGTCATTCATTGACCTCCTTAAGCTTATATATTGTCAGTTATCAGTTTATTTGCCTTTTAGCTCAGAACACATTCTTCAATATATAGTCTCTCTTAATGAAAAACAAAAAACGTTCACACACTCTTCACAAGAGTGCTTGCTTACCCAAGGATCACTATGGATGGGCATGAAGGTAATTTTATCTGTAACTGGGTATTCATTATATTGTTATTTCCTGTTTTAAAAAATAATTTGTAATTTACTGATTCAAGTTACCAATAAATGAATGTTCATGGACTGACTTGTTTTGTAATCCTGAGTCTAAAATCATCTCTTAGTCCATTCTGAGCTATTACAGAAGATCTGAAACTGGGTAATTTATCAAGAATAGAAATTGATTTCTCACAGTTCTGGAGGCTGGGAGGTTCAAGATAAAAACACCAGCAGGTTTGGTGTCAGCTGAGGGCCCTATCTATCTCCACCTCCAAGATGTCACCTTGAATGCAACATCCTCCAAAGCAACACTGTAATCTCACATGGCAGAAGAGATCAAGCTAATCTACTTTTGTAAGCCTTTTATAGGGACAATAATCCATTCATGAGGGTGAAACCCTAATGACCTAAAATTCTTCCATAAGACCCCATTTCCCAACTCCGTTGTATTGGGGATTAAACAGAATTTTGGAGGAGACACAAACATCCAAACCATAGCAGTGATCAAGGCAGAAGGACAGTATTGCTTTCTCTTTTGTGCATTAGTGAATCACAATAACTTGAAAGAGGCTCAAAGATCTACTGAGAGTTTAAAGCCTAGTAGTTTGTAGGAAAGTTCTAAAGAGATTTTTCAAAATATGTCAGTTATGGTATTTCTTAGCTAATTTATCCATTGTTTCTCAGAGAATTTACTTAAGTGACTATTAGTAAGGGAAAAGGGGAGATACTGGTCAGAGGGTACAAACTTTCAATTATAAAATGAATAAATTCTGGAGATCTAATTTATAGTATGGTGACTATTGTTGTTAATGTATATTTGACATTTGCTGAGAGCAGATATCAGGTGTTCTCACCACACCAAAAAATGGTAACTATGTAAGGTGATTGATATTTTAATTAGCTTGAGTGTTGTAACCATTTCACAGTATATACATGTATCAAAACATCACATTGTGTACCTTAAATAGATGCAAGTTTTGCCAGTCACACCTCAATAAAGCTGCAAAAAATGACACTGTAATTGGCTCTACCATATTTCAGTTTAAAGCACTATTGTCATTAGATTAATATTTATTTAATATAGACATTATATCCAACAATCTCAGCTATTTGAAGTGTAGCCAAGGATCCAGAAATAAGTATAAAAGACTCGTAAAGCTGGATTCATCCCTGACTAATGGGTAAAGGTGTCACATTCAGAAGAGCCATCTCCACTTCCTTCTAGCTCACTTTGTCTTCTTTTCAGTGTAATTCTAATAAATCTGTTCATCAGGTTTCTCAGTCTACAGTGGATTAGAAAGGGAAGGGAAGGAGTGACTGTGACAGGCATGGAAGCTTACACATGTGAAAGCAAGAACAGAACCAGTCTTAGGCCATTTTGGAGCAGTCTGAAACAGACTGCAACACCCCTATAACAAGACTGAAATACAGGGCAATGGTTAAGTATTTGTAATGAACTTGAATCAATATAAAAATATTACACTGTGTTCAGAATATTGGCATAAGTTAATGGAGCATTTAATATATTTTGGAAATACTTCTACTGAAGATGGCTCTAACAGTATGTATTTAAAAGAATAGTCTTTTAGCTAAAAAAAATAAGTCACTTAAGTAAATTCTCTGAGAAACAATGGATAAATTAGCTAAGAAATACCATAACTGATATGTATTAAATATTTACTGTGTGCAAAGCACTATTTTGAGCATTTCACAAACAAGTATTTTCTCATTTAATTCTCATGGCAACCCTGGACTAGATATCATTTCCTTTCACATATAAGGAAACAGGCATAGAAAAATTAAGAATTGTGTCTAAGGTAGTAAAGCCATTAAGTGTTTGAGCAGAATTTAAACCCAGATGATAGAATTCCCACATTATACGACTTTCGTCCTGCTGCTCTTAAAGACTACAATTATCCTACTGTTAGGTAGATGATTCTATCTTTAAACTCTGTAGAATTTATAGATATTAAAGCTCCATCCATACTCTCCATATACCAGTATTCTTGCTCTATTTCTTGGAGTACATTAACTGCCCTTGGTATATTACCAGTATCACCAAATCTATGGAATCCCAAAGCAACAGAATGATCATCATGTAGTTATATGAATTTATGCCTCACACATCTAATGCATACAAAGTGTGCGTGTGTAAACTATATAACCTAATCTGTGCATATAATTTTATAATTTTTAATCAATACATAGTTGATATGTGGTTGCCTTACAAGATAGCTCTAAAATTAGAACAGGCACTGCACTGTAGTTCTAATTTTTCTGAAAGCTAAGAACTCAACTGAGGTGATGTTATTAAGGATTTTCAAGTGGTCTTTTTTTTTTGAGACTGCACCAGGCTGGAGTGCAGTGACGTGATCTCAGCTCACTGCGACCTCCACCTCCTGGGTTCAAGCAATTCTCAAACCTAAGCCTCCTGAGTAGCTGGGATTACAGGCACGCACCACAACACCCAGCTAATTTGTGTATTTTTAGTAGAGATGGGATTTCACCATGTTGGCCAAGATGGTCTCTATCTGCTGACCTCGTGATCCACCTGCCTCACGCTCCTAAAGTGCTGGGATTACAGGCGTAAGCCACTGCGCCCAGCCTAAATGGTCTTATACATAATTGTGGTCAATATGTAATTGTGGCCCTTTATGAATATTATCTTGGCTATATTTGTGGACCCAACAAATAGAAGACATTTTTTAAAGGCTAATTAATTTAAAGTTTTGTTAACACCTGAGCTGACTGACTTGATCATGTTTTTCACTAAATTAAAAAAATCAACAGACTATATTGGCATCGTGTCATCCACAGGTCATAAAGTTGACAGATCAAACTTTTTCATATCTACATAGTTACCTGATTTTTTTCTCCAAAACAAATTCTCTTTTGACACTGGATTCTTTGATACTATAATCTTATTTAAACACTATATGTTAGACTTTAAGATTTTATGCGTGGATTTAAAGACAAAAGTAAAACAGACACTCCTTATAAGGATACTATTTGGACCTCAGATACTGATTCAAGCAAAAAAAAAAAAAAATTATAAAGACAATTGCAAAAATGTGAATGAATACTTTATGGTATTAAGTGACCAGGTGTTGGGAGATATTTGATGACAGTAGGAAATCATTGGGATTTTAAACGGTGGACACTGGTACTGTAGTTACGTTTGTTGTTTGCTTAAGGGTCCTTATCTTTTAGAAATATACTCTGGATTCCAACCTAGGCACACTGCAAATTCTGTCTGTAGCAGGAATTTTAACAGCTGTCCTGCATAATCACTGGATTTAAAACCACTACAAATAGGTAGGAAAACTTTTAAAAGCTAATGCATAATGTATTGTACAAATTCAACAGGTGGCTAAATATTGGGTACTGTTAGAATATTCATGAAATTAAAGCATCAAAACTAGCTTTGGAGTTGAAACATAAATTATTTTTAGTTACACATTTCTAAGCTCTGCTGCACCTGAATATTTTGGAATATATAAGTCACATTTAGCCTTACGGGATAAATGTTAACACTGTCACTAGAATTGTTATGGCTTACCAGAGCATTCCAGACAGAATTTTAAATATTTTCAAATACTAAAATGTTTTAAATCTTCTGAAATGCTGTTTTAAATAGTTTGAACTAACTTAGGATAGGTGTAGCAGAAGAAAAATCCCATTCCCAGTAAATCCTCACTTTGGAGGAAGATAAATACCATTTCATTTAGCAAGATTTCCCAAGTCACACTCAAATCCTGAAAAGTAACCTGAGAGAGGGATTCTCTTTGTATGTACCCAAATTATGCTGCCTGTTTGTAAGACATACCTAAAGCACAGCCTACTGAGAAACAGATTAATGCAAAGGTCTCCTAAAACTAAGTGGCAGCATATCAGTCAAGAAAGCTAAGAAAAAGAAAGAAAGAAAGAAAACTAAATGACAGGAAAAAGAGTACAACATAGCCCAAGACAGACCGATACTCATTCCCTTTGATAAAATTTATCTTACTAGAACAATACCAAAAAGATTAATCAAATCTAAGCAGGGAGGTTTTCACTCACTCTGAGGTTAATACCCTTAACTAAAAATATATTTATTTATTTTGTCATAAAACTTTTTGATCCATGGAGGAGGAAATCATGCCACAGGATATTCGGCTTGGAAGCACTGCAAGGCTTAAATTTATCAGAAAGGAGTGGCATGGTTTTCAGCCATTTCATGGACACATTTTTTTTTTTTTACCTTCCCAGATGTATCACAAAGCTTTCTAAATTGAAAGTGTTAAACAATTTCCATACATACTTGATGTAAACTCTGAAAATTTTCACAACTCGATCTACATTCCCATGTAATATCATCCACTGGCGTGGTTACCTGTAAGCTGATGACTCCCAGATTAGTTTCTCCAGCCCTAAAGTGCCCTCCTCCACAAGCTCCAGACTCACAGTTTACTTCCTTCTTAGTATCACCACTTGGATGTCTAAATGGGCTTCTCCAACTTAATAGGGCAATCTCTACTCTGTATTCTTCAACAGAATTCTCTATTCTTGATTTTCACCCCTCCAGAACTTATTTTCTCCCAGTTTTTCCCATTTCCATAAATGGCATTATTGTTCATCCAGTTGCTCAAATCAAAAAACCAAGTCACTCTTGATCCCTTTTTTCTCTCACTCTCTACATCGAATCCACCAGCAACTCCTTGGCTATAAACTATATTCCAAGGTCAACCACTTCTCTTTCTTCTCTATCTCTTCTTGCCACCATTATCTCTCAGCTGTACTATTTCAATAGTCAACTTATTTCTTTACTTTCCTTCTTTCTCCCCTTCAGTCCATTCTCCACATACAAATAAAAGTGTTTTTCATTTTACATATTGTTAGGTCATATAAAAATATTCCACTGTCATCTTGTTGTTCTAAGAATAAAATACTCACTTCCTAACACAGCCTTCAAGATAGGCATAACCTAGCTCTCATGCAAATACTGGGAAAAGAATAAAAGATAGTCATGGCCTGGCCCTGTCTACTACTTGACCTGATCTCACACGCTCTGTTGTGCTCACTCCGCTCCATATCACACTGGCCATCTTTCTTTCCCTAAAAATGAAAGCCCATTTCTTTCTGCACAGAGCTGTATTTGTACTTGTTTCCTTTTTGTGGAATGCTATCCTGCCCATATTCACATTCTTTTTTATTATTCACGACTCAGCTAAAAAACTTACCACCTCAAAGCAGCTTTTTGGAGCACATTCTATTATTATGAGTGTGCACTATTTGCAAGTGCCCTTTTTACATTTTCATGGTTAAAATCTGTCTCCCCGCTTTTACCAGAATGTAAGGTCCCACAAGAATGGACTTTGTCCTTCTTGTTCTCGACTGTCTCCTGTGCACTTAGAACATGCCTAGCACATAGAAGACTCTCAAAATACATTTGTCAAATTAATGGCATACCAACATTTGTGTTAGCATTGATATCATAATATCACAACATCTGGAAAATATTTTCAGAGGGAAATCAGGTAAGGACATAAAATTTAGACCAGGGATGTGAAAAGACATGAAAAAAAGAGGCTTGGGGCCGGGTGTGGTGGTTCACACCTGTAATCCCAGCACTTTGGGAGGCCGAGGAGGGCAGATCACAAGATCAGGAGATCGAGACCATCCTGGCAAACACTGTGAAACCTCGCCTCTACTAAAATACAAAAAAATAGCCAGGCGTGGTGGCAAGTGCCTGTGGTCCCAGCTACTTGGGAGGCTGAGGCAGGAGAATCGCTTGGACCAGAGAAGAGGAGGTTGCAGTGAGTGGAGGTTGCGCCACTGCACTCCAGCCTGGGTGACAGAGTGAGCCTTCGTCTCAAAAAAAAAAAAAAAGTAAGAAAAGAGGCTTAAACTATAAGTTTGTAACAATGCAGCAAAATAAGACATAAACTGCCTCTTTAAAAAGAAAAGAAAGGCTGGGCATGGTGGCTCACACCTGTAATCCCGGCACTTTGGGAGGCAAAGGTGAGTGGATCATGGGGTCAGGAGTTCAAGACCAGCCTGATCAACATGGTGAAATCCCATCTCGCCTAAAAAGACAAAAATTAGCCAGGTGTGGTGGTACATGCCTGTAATCCCAGCTACTTAGGAGGCTGAGGCAGGAGAATCACTTGAACCCGAGAGGTGGAGGCTGCAGTGAGCCAAGATTGCACCATGGCACTCCAGCATGGGCGACAGAGCGAGACTCCGTCTATAGATAAATAAATAAATGAAAAACATGAAGGAAAAAATGTAAGGTCATTTGGATAGCTGTGAATAAATACTCCACATGGGTATGCCTTACTTTATCAACAGCTTTGTATATTGATCAAAGTTAATTTCTAATTTCTCATGGAAAGAATTGTTTCTCCATAAGGCAGTAAATGATTAGCAGATGGGGGAAATTGGCATTATGGTACAGCCCTACCTTGGAGATATTGCAGGTTCGGTTCCAGACCACTACAATAAAGAGCAAAATACAGCAAGTCACACAAACTTTTTGGTTTTGCAATGCATATAAAAACTATGTTTATACCAAAATGTATTAAGTTGCAACAGCATTATGTCTAAAAAAAAATGTACAG